GTCCATTGGAGGCAAATCTCAGCCATGGTTTGGTAGCTCCTGTAAAATAGCATCATGCTACAAGCAGGAGTGCTACCAAGCTTGGGCTGACGCATCAGCGTCCCGGGATGTAAACACCAGCGCTCTAAAAAAGAAGTATAATTCCGCCTCTAGGTCCTTCAAAAGAGTCACTGCCAAGGCAAAGACAGAGCACATAGGCAGAATTGGCGAGAAACTAGTCCGCTTCCTTCTGGAACCCGTGCATTCTGGTCTCTCGCCAAGGCTGTCCAGGGGAATTTCTGTCAGCCATCTCTTCCATCTCTGCACAGGGAGGACGACTCACTGATCCATACCGCAAAGGAGAAAGCCGATCTTCTAGGCTCTTTCTTTGCGCCCAACTCGACTCTCGATGACGGGGAGAGTACGCCGCCGACCATCCCGCGGTGCGAGTGCTCCATGCCGGAAGTGCAGTTCACACAGCGCTCGGTTCGCAAAGCACTCCTGTCCCTGGACATCCACAAGTCGAGTGAGCCTGACGGAATCCCCCCAATTGTGCTGAGGACGTGTGCTCCAGAGTTGGCACCGGTTTTAACGCGTTTTTCCGGTACTCCTACTCCCTAGGCGTAGTCCCCAAATCATGGAAGACGGCTTTCGTCCACCCGATCCCTAAAAAAGGCGACCGCTCAGACCCGTCCAACTACCGGCCTATCGCCATCACCTCCTTGTTCTCCAAAACAATGGAGTCCATTGTAAACTGCCAGCTCATGAGGTACCTTGAGGATCACCAGCTGATTAGTGACCGCTAATACGGTTTTCGCCGTGGTCGATCAGCTGGTGATCTTCTAGTCTACCTAACTCACAGATGGGCGGAGGCAGTAGAATCCAAGGGGGAGGCATTGGCCGTTAGTTTGGATATTGCGAAGGCCATCGATCGGGTTTGTCACAAAGCGCTTCTTTCGAAGCTCCCATCCTATGGGCTTCCCGAGAAATTGTGCGATTGGATCACCAGCTTTCTTGCAGATCGGGGCATCAAGGTCGTTGTAGACGGTGCAAGCTCTGATTGCAAGCCTATTAATGCTGGTGTTCCACAAGGTTGCGTGCTATCGCCAACGCTGTTTCTTCTGCATATCAATGATATGTTGCAAACCCGTAACATTCATTGCTATACAGATGACAGCACTGGTGATGCCATTTACACCGGCCGAGCCAATATTTCTCGGGAAAACGTCTCCGAGTGCCAGGACAAACTTGTGTTTGAAGTCGAGTCTTTGCTGAACAGAGTCTTGGATTGGGGGCGACTAAATCTAATCCAGTTTAACCCCCAGAAGACACAAGTTTGCGCGTTAACCGCTAAAAAGAATCCCTTTGTCGTATCTCCTCAGTTTCAAGGCACTCCCCTTGTTGCCTCAGCCAGTATCGGAATCCTCGGCATGGACATATCGAGTGACGTGCAGTTTCGTGATCACTTGGAAGAGAAGGCCAAATTGGCCTCTAAGAAGCTTGGCGTGCTCAGTAGAGCGGGACAGTATTTCATGCCGGCACACCGCCTGCAACTTTACAAGGCGTAGGTTCGGCCGCACATGGAATACTGTTCCCATCTCTAGGCTGGGGCTCCTCAGTACCAGCTCCTTCCACTTGACCGCATCCAGCACAGAGCGGCTCGAATCGTCGACGACCGAGTGCATTCCGATCGGCTCGATTCACTGGCACTGCGAAGAGATGTTGCATCTCTTTGCATTTTCTTTCGCATATACCATGGAGAGTGCTCTGAGGAATTGTTCGGATTAATCCCAGCCGCCAAATTTCGTGAACGCACTACGCGGCAAACGTCCCGATACCATCCACACCATCTGGATGCTTGGCGGTCCACCACTGTACGTTTCAAGAGGAGTTTTCTTCCGCGTACAACCTCTCTGTGGAATAGTTTACCACCAGCAATTTTTCCGGACCGATACGACTTGGGGATCTTCAAGAAAAGAGCGTACTCCTTTCTAAAGGGCCAGCAACGCACCTGCAATTCCCCTGGTGTTGCTGTTGATCATGGGCGGCGGTAGTCACTTAACATCAGGTGTGTACCCTCTTCTATAAAAAAACCCTTGCTCCTTTTCTCTTATTACACTATCCTGAATCGGGTAGTAGGCACCCTAATTCATTATAGTGTACGTAGACAGAGAAATCTATAGACAACTTGACGCCTTATTTCGCATTCACACACGAAAAAGAAAGATTTATGCATACGTCTTGCATAGAAATGAGACAGAGCGGTCTGATTGTTTGTCCCTTTCTCCGTGCCTTTTTTTTTGTTTAGCAGACCACACTTTGCTAAGCAACTTTGACAGTTCGTAGCGATCTAAGGAGTTTACTAGTTGGTTAAAGTGAGAAAAAAACTGTTTTGTGAGCTTAAGATCAGTGAATCTTGATCAGTTCAATTCTTAGAACAATTAAAAACTTTAAAATTGTTAGATGTAATGTCTTAGGATGTAAAAGTGATAGTGAACGTAAACTCACCGGTGTATCACTTCACTCGTAAGTATAATACATTTTATCTGGTATTACGTATAAAATTCAATTGTTATTTTAAATTTCGTTACAGAACTATATAAATATACGCCTAAATTTTATCTAAATATGTTTAAAAGTCATAAAGACTGTTGTATAACATAAAACCAAGTTGAAAACCTCTTTAGCGACCTTTCTCACTCGAGGCCACGCTAATCATTAGTCTATAGGTTTCTCTGTCTATGGTAGTGTAATAGGGGTATTATAAGTAGGGGTATTATATTATAGTACTCTTATTAGTTTATGGCTATAACGAACAACCACTGGCCATCAAAAATCAGTATCGAAATAATTTGAATATATAAAAATCACGTAAATATGTATTTAAATTGCCTCTCTTTTTTGGCAAAATAACCTATTAACGGCACTGATTGCGTTTCAGTCTAATATTGTCAGCTGTCATTCTGAAAAAAAAAATCATGCAAATAAAAATAGTGGGTATCTATTGACTATAAGATTGTGGCGGCCGTAGACAGAAGAACCTATAGACAAATTGACGCGTTCTTTCGCATTCGCACACGAAAAAGATAGATTTATACATACGTCTTGCAAAGAAATGAGACAGAGCGGTGTGATTGTTAGTCCCTTTCTCCGTGCCGTTTTTTTTGTTTAGCAGACTACACTTTGCTAAACAACTTTGACAGTTCGTAGCGATCTAAGGAGTTTACCAGTTGGTTAAAGTGAGAAAAAAGTGTTTTGTGAGCTTAAGATTGTTGAATCTTGTTCAGTTCAGTCTTTGGAACAATTAAAATTTTTATCTAAATATGTTTAAACGTCATAAAGATTATTGTATAAACTAAAACTACGTTATCGTCCTTTCTCACTCGAGGCCAAGATAATCATTAGTCTATAGGTTTCTCTGTCTACGGTGGCGGCACTAAAACCTGTCTTCCTTCTACCAGTAAGCCATTTTGTAATCAGCACGAGTTCTGACACCGTTAGTTGTATACGCTTTGGTTCAGTTTTTGTTATTTTCTGCTAACTACCGATTTTGTTGAGTTTTTAGTTGTTATTTTTGGTTTGACAGTGCCGAAAAAGACTGTTTTGAATAGCGAATGTCATGAATTCGTAGTTCGCTTAGGAGATTATTTGAACATGAGTGTCATAATAACGGACCGTTGTTGCCTGTAACCCAAATTGACAACAGAGTAGCGGATACTTTTGGCATCGGTTGTGCGACGGTGTCTCGTATAACGCAAAAAAAGTATGGCAAGCCATCATCTACTCAAGCGATGGAAGAAGACATTATAATACATAAACACTCACGACTGTCCCCCAAAGGAGTAGGTAGAAACTACAGACTTCCATTTAGCACTTTCCTGACATACCTCTCTCGCTTTCTCCACATCTACATATCTACTCATACATCCTCGTCAGTTAAGGGTAATCTTAATTTGCCCCATTTTCAATATATCACCAATTTGGTCGATAAACTTTCGCCTACGACGTCCCTTTCCGACTCTTCCATTCACTTCTGCAACATATATTTACTTTGTCAATCTTTCCTCATTAATTCTTACTACATGACCATACCACCGAAGCATTTCTTTTTTAATCCTGGTCACAGCATCATCTTGCAAACCACATTCTTCTTTTATCACAGTTTCTCACCCTGTCATTCAGATTCAGGCCTAACATACTCCTTAGCGACCACGTTTCTACTGCATTTATTCTACTCTCGTGCTTCTTCCACCATACCCAGCTCTCACTAACATACGTTAAAGTAAGAAAGACACGGAAGTAAAATTCTCGTCGTCGAATTAGAAAAGAAGGAGAGTTTCAAGTATCACTGCGATTGATAACTTTGATGCTGCCACAATACGCAATACAACACACAGCATAAAAACACTTGGACTGATAACATGGCACAATCGGTCACCAAAGTACTCGAAACCAAAGGAAAACGTCTCATAATTGCGCACGCAAGGACTGCAAACGGTTTTGTGCGCAATCGTTTATTGATTTTCAATTCAACAAAACAACAGAATACCATGAGATGAATTTCGAAAATTTCAAAGAATGGCTTTTAAAATTACTGGAAAATATTCATCAATCACACACGATTATTATGAATAATGCGGCATACCATTCCTTACAAAATTACAAAGCTCCAACATCTAGCAGGAGAAAACTTTGTTGAAACACGAATTAGTCGGATTAGTGAAAGAAAACAAATCCAGAAAGCCAACCTATATTTTGGATGAAATCACTGTACATTATGGACATACGGTGACTAGATTGCTACCATATCATTGTCATTACAATGCCATCTGACGAATTTGGGCTCATGTCAAAGGTTTGTTTTTTGTCATTATACCTACGTTTACTACGTATTATATAGATACTTAATTTTTTTCTTTAGGTTATGCAACCAAACATAACACGTATCCACCACTTACGGCTAAGATAATGCTGACTTTATTGCAAAATGCCTGTGATAATAATAATAATAATAATGGATGATGGAATATGCAAAAACGCGCAAAGGGCCGCTACCTGGAGGTCGCCAGGGCGCGTCTGGAGCTGGCGCTGGACGCGACAGCATGCGAATCGCCAGCCGAGCGAGAGGTGCTGCACGACCCATCAGCCCCTCGCATCCATCATCCCCACCAGCTGGCTTGGTGTCGGCAGGGTCTTTGCTGGCCCAGCAATCGGCACCCGCCACTGGTGGAGTACGCCGCATGCGATGGACAACCGAAATGAATACTAACGCATTGCGGGCGTATTTTAGGGCGAAATGGGGAGAAGTTGGAGGTTTGGCGTGTCGGGCTAGGATGCATCGTCTTTTTGCTGAGCTGGAGCCATCTTTAACCGTCTTAGAGTAAAACCTGGCAGACCGGGTTCGGTATATCTTGCGCTCAAATATATTTGATGTCGCCGAACTCGAACGACTACGACGTGAGGCTGTTCCCTCATCGGATGAAAATGCTACGGCTGAGGATGCGGCGCCACAAATTGCAGAGCAACCCGCAAACGTGAATGCCGCCGTGAATACCCCAGTTGTGGTTGATTCAAACGATGATGGAACAGTCGCCCAGGAACTGGAATTAGAGCATATGAGGAGTACATTGGAAGAGGCGATTGTGGAAACGCGCAGTACGCCTCTCGAAAATCGACCGCGACTTCCCCGCATAGCCCTAAGCAAGCGGAATCGGGCTGTCGTGAGAGCTCTGAACCCAATGCTGGTGACCTATTTGGAAGCCAGCCGGGACCTTTGCGAGACGGACTCAATTCTTTTTGGCACCGCACTGGCAGTGTGCCGTATTATAGGCGCCAAACTTTCCACGGCTGGACGCGCTACTGGACAAAGTAGCGCTATCCCAGCCTGGAGAATAAGAATTGAAGAACGTATCGCAAAGGCTAGGGCCCTCATAGGCAGACTGATATGCTTCAGGTCAGGCAACAACAGGCCAAGGATTGTGCGCACCGTCAGGATGGCATTTGCTGGGACAAATGTTAGTTTGTCCCAGCCGGATATAATGCAAAAACTGACGGAGCGCATAGATGACCTGAAGCAGAGAATCGCTGCTTGGGGAAAGCGGATTCGGCGATATACCGAGAGGTCACACGGTTTTACCAGAATCGTCTCTTCCAGAGTGATCAGAAGAGGCTCTATAAATCGTTGGAGCGACCAATGGTAAGTGGAACGGGCCCAGCACCGAATCAGGCCGACACTGTAGCAATCTGGCACGGCCTGTGGTCAGAGCCCATAAACCACAGCGAGGGCCCTTGGACGGAAGTTGTGGCGAGTCAGTGTGCGAGTATAACGCCCATGGACCCCGTCATTATAACGTCGGATGACGTAGCTGAGGCGGTCCGTAGGGCCTCGAACTGGAAAAGTCCGGGACTCGACGGGCTGCATCACTACTGGCTGAAGGGGTTTGTGGTGTGTCACACTGTGCTCGCCCGACAGTTCCAAGAGGCTCTCAACCAGAAGTCACTCCCGAGCCTCTTCACTACTGGGATCACGCATTTGGTTCCTAAAGACCAGGTTACCACAGACCCGAGCAAATACCGCCCCATCACGTGTCTGCCGACCATATACAGGACACTAACATCCATTTTGAGCACGAGAATCACTCGTCACCTGGAATCAAATCAGGTGATGTCGCGCGCTCAAAATGGATGTCGGGGCGGCGGTTGTGGAACCAAGGAACCACTCCTCATTGACGCGGTCATTGGCAAAGTGGTGAAACGTAACCGTCGGAACTTCGCCGCCTGGATAGACTACAGAAAGGTATTTGACTCGGTGCCCCATACATGGCTAAAGAGGGTGCTCGAGCTGTACAAGATTGACTGTACAGTTCGAGACTTCCTCGAGCAGTGTATGGGGCAGTGGAGTACGATCCTCTGTCATCTAGGCGAGCGAATGACGGCTGCGGAAAGCCGCATAAGGATAAGAAGAGGTATATTCCAGGGCGACTGTCTGAGTCCAATCTGGTTCTGCCTCTCTTTGAACCCTCTCAGTACTTTACTGGAGGGTTCCAGGAGGGGATTTCAGCTTCGGAAAGGAGGTACAAAAGTGACCCACCTTTTCTATATGGATGACCTCAAATTATTCGCCTCCAGTCGCTCCCATCTTATGGAATTGCTAAACATCACTTGTGAATTTAGCAATTCTATTGGAATGGAGCTGGGAACGGATAAGTGTGCGGTCCTCCATGTTGAGAGGGGTAGGGTTGCTAACTCTGAGGACATAGACTTATCTATGCCCGTTAACTTAAGGACCCTTTCCGAGCCTGAAACATACCGATACCTGGGTATGTCACAGAATAAGGCTGGTATGAAATAGTCAGTTTGCGACACGTTTTATGCACGCTTGACCAAAATGCTTAACAGCCTTTTATCCAGTGTGAATAAGGCACACGCATATAACGGCTGGGTCATGCCTGTCCTCATGTATACCTTTGGCATACTCAGGTGGACTCAGACCGAACTTAACGCCCTGGATAGAAAAGTCTGCACTACCATGACGTCCCATAGGATGCATCATCCGAGATCGTCGGTAATGAGGCTGTACTTGCCGCGAAAGCATGGTGGCCGTGGCTTCCTGAGCGCGCTCACCATGCATAATCGCGAAGTATGCAGCCTCCGTAATTACTTCCTGGTGAGATCGGATATCCAATCTATGACGTAATTTCTAGTGATAAAGGACTTACCCCTCTATACTTAGCCAACGAGCAATGGCAAGACCCGGCAGTACAAAGCATTTCCGACCGGGAGACCGTATGGAAGGAGAAAGAGCTCCACGGGAGATACTACAGGGTTCTACATGATGTATCTCCCGTGCAGTGGTCTGCAGGCAACCGTAATTTCTTCCAAAGTTTGCGAAAGCTGGAGTCACTGCTGTACTTTCCTGAACAGCGCTTCGATTTGACAACAAAAACGGTTGTATGTGCTTGTCCCAATCTCGTTGCCGATTGTCTACAACTTTTGCTAGGTACCTCTTCAATGTCCTGTGTCTCCAATGATTGCGGGTGATAAGCAGTCGTTCTTGTTTTATGAGTACCCATAACTCGGCAAGTTTCCTGGAATATTTGAGACTCAAAATTCCTTCCTTGATCGCTGAGAATCTCAAAAGGTACTCCAAAACGACAGAAGACTTCATGAACTAGTTTATCTCCAACTGTTGAAGCTTCTTGATTCGGAATGGCGAAGACTTCTGGCCACTTAGTGAAGTAATCCATCACAACCATGAAATACTTGTTACCGCTTTCACTCTCCGGAAACGGCCCCGCCACGTCAATGGCTATTCTCTCCCATGGTGCACCAACATTGTACAACTTCAACGCACCTCTACTACGAGTCTGAGGTCCCTTTACAGCCCTTTACAGAAATGTCGCTTCTCCTTGGTTAGCTTATGCAGAGGTTTGGCTATATCTGCAAAGTTCTTCACAAATCGCCGATAATAGGAGCACAAACCCAAAAATGCTCTAACCTGCGTCTTGTCTTTTTGAACCGGCCAATCTTTGACAGCGGCGATTTTCTCCGGATCCGTGCGGATACCTTCTTCCGACACTACATACCCCAAAAAGTTGACTTGCCGTTTGAATAGTGAACATTTCTTCAGACTCAACTTGAGGTTGGCACTCTGAATCTTCATGAGCACGCGTTCCAGGTTTTGAAGGTGTTCCTCAAACGTACGGCCTACGATGATGATGTCATCCAAGTAGACCAGACAGGCATCGCCAATTAGCCCGGTAAGTACAAGTTCCATCAGCCTTCCAAACGTTGCTGGAGGATTGCACAACCCAAACGGCATTACTTTAAATTGTCACAGATTCTTTCCCTTCCCTTAGGGTCAATTTCAACTTGCCAGTAGCCACTTTTTAGATCCAGCGTGCTAAACCACTTTACTCCTGTAAGCATGTCCAGCGTGTCATCAGTTCTTGGCAAGGGATAGCTGTCCTTCTTCGTAACGTCATTCAGACGGCGGTAGTCAACACAAAATCGCATGCTGCCATCCTTCTTCTTTACCAGCACCACGGGTGCCCGTACCCAAAGTCAAGGCCAGCAGGAGACGGACCAAAGAAGATTTGGTGGTGCAACGCCGCAGACGTCGGAGGGCCAGCCGCCGGCTGCAGGCCCGTCAGTAGCTACTACATCTGCAGCACCTGACTAAGGTGCTCTGATGGTGATGCTGCAGGAGCAGTCTCGCCGACAGGAGGAGCAGGCCCGTTGAGAGCAGCAGGAATCCTTAAAGAGCAGCAGGAGGAACAGGCCCGCCGACAGGAGGAACAGGCCCGTCGGTTGGAAGAGCAGCTCAAGCGCGATAAGGAAGAGCAGATGCTCCTCATGAAGGACATTCACGCTACCTTCGGGAAAGAGATAAGGGAGGTGAAGGATAAGGTTGCTCAAGATGACAACCGCCTGTCGGAAGCTGAAACCCCAATCGACCAAGTGAACAATCGGGTTGACAACGTAATGGCTGACATGAAGAAATCACTGGACGAACTCAAACTTGGGGATGGAACTACAGCTCCCGTAGTAGCTACTACACCTTCTCTACGTGGGTTCACGGTGTCACCGTTCGACGGAACTTCTTCCTGGTCAGCCTACAAAATCCAGTTCGAGGCTGTTATGAAGGCGAACGGCTGGAATAAAAGTCAGGCCATGACTGCTCTCACACTAGGCCTGCGCGACCAGGCCTTAACAGTTCTGGAAGCTCTCGGTGAGGAAGTGACTTATGAGCAACTCCTTGAGGCATTGGAGGCGAGATATGGTGACGCTCACCTGGAACACGTCTTTCGTGCGCGGCTTAAAGATCGCGTGCAGCGCATCAACGAAGACCTGCAGCAGTGGGCTCTAGAGGTGGAGAAGCTGGTGCGAAAAGCATACCGGTCTGTACCTGCGCTCATTGAAGGGAACCTGGTGCAGACATTCATCGACGCCATCCGCGACCTTGAATTCAGAGCTGCTGTGAGGCTGGGGCACCACGAAACGCTTAAGAACGCCTAGGCCCATGCACTGGAGGTGGAAGCCGTGCGACAGGATCATCGTTCCCATCGCGTCAGGGAGGTTGCAGCAGCTACAGTTCGCGACCGCAACAAAGGATACAGCCCTAGGTGCTATGGCTGTGGGGAAAGGGGCTATCTTCGATCCAGTTGCCCTAAGCGAACTCTAGAAAGGGAAGGTGAACGATCTCAGGCGGGTAGTGCGGCCAACAGCACCGCCCAGTAGCAGCAGGGAAACGAGTAAAAGCCAGAACTGCGGGGCGGGTGCTGGCTGATGTTTAAAGAGCCCCAAGGATCTCGATCTCACAAACCCATGATGGGAACAGCCTAATCATCAAGGACGAGATCAATAGAATGCCGTGTAAACTGAC